CACAGCTCAAGAAGTTTCGCAGGTCGGGAGAATTGACAAAAGAAAACGGAAGCTCCTTCATGATGATGAGGCGAAGGAGTTTGTTCTTTAAGTTCTCGCGGGTGAGCTTGAGAGGCTAGGATCAAAATACAATAGTCAGAAAGAGGACACAAAAAGGACATATGAAGCTTGTGAATTATCAATGTACCTTCTCGATCTTCCCATTGGTCACATAGTCCCTCATCATCCCAGCTTCGGCAACAGTGTTTTCGTATATCTCGTGTCGGCGTTCCAGATGTCGGGACAATGATCTTGTGCTGGAAGATTTATCAACGGCAAACACCGCTCCACAGACTTTACCTCCTCCAGATGGATGAGGGACTTGACAGATGTTCTGCTTCTCCTTTGACCCTTTATCGTACTCAGTTATGAAATGCTGCCAGACCCATGAGAGCTTGTGTGAGTTGTCGAGTTTGATTTTCTTGCTTTTTGCAGCGGGCTTGACTTGTAAAGGAGAGTCTGAGATTGTGATCACACTATCATTGGAGGAATGGGGGTGTTTAGGAGCCATGGTGAGTGATATAAGGCACCTGGTTTCATCAATTTCCACGTTGCTGAGCCACATTACGAGAATTTTTTTTTTGGCCGGGCCGTGCCGGGCCGGGCAGCTGAAAAACAAGGGGCCTGATCGGCGTAGTTTCTGATGGCCGGGCCGGGCCGGGTCCAAGCCTTACTGTGGTGGCCAAAATGGGGTCCAGAAAGGTGGCCAAAGTGTGGTTTGAATTTCACATGATTTGGATGTATGAAGTGTCCACGAGAGGTTCAGCATCTCGTTCAGTACCTGGCAGCGGTAATCATCTGGCACCACCGACATCTGTAGTCACCAACTATAGATTTATTCCAACTTACTAAGAACCAAAAACCCAGTTTCTAGGATAGATATCTGACAAATCCTTAGAAACTTACATTCAGTAAGTCTCATTCAAACTAGTTTACTACCCAAGTAATACTCAGTCTGACACCACCCTTGGTGGGCTGAAGACAGTGCAGTGATTTGGTAGTTTTAGGGCAAAAGTCGTGTTTTCTCATATTTTTATTATATTATTTCAATTTGATTATGAATCATACTTGAATAATCATCAATTATTTACATTAAAGTTATTCACTTTGAATCATAAGATCATAATCAGAAAGAAGAAAGAGACAAAAACTCATAAAAAATAAACAATGCAGGTATATTAGATGGAAAATGGGTTTTAGGTCATTATTAATTGATTTGAAGGTTCACAAAGGCTTTATTATGAAAGATAATGATCAAATTATTCATCAATAACTTTGATCATGAGTATTGATAAGGGAGGAGTGAAGTTATTCAAGAAAGAGGGAATTTTGAGGATGATAAACTACTACGGGATTAAGACATATGTAATGATGTCATTAAGGGATTTATTGGTTGCCAAGAGTTTTATAATGGTTTTCAAAGTTATTCTTATTACTTGATTGTTCAACAGTGATCTTATGATGTAGACCAAATCAATATTAGACATCAAAAGAGGTGAAAAGGGGTGAAAATCATCAAAAATGATTTAAACTTTGTGCTTTGACTTCTATTTCTTGTACTGACTTCATCAAGGCTTTGTATACTTGAAGTCAACTGTCAATTCTTAATGATAGATGTTGCAATATGTTAGGAGTGAGACAGAGATGGCTCAAGAGTTGACAAGAGAAAGGCCATCCAACTACTATGATAAGATTGCAACATAGAGATTGTACATAAAATCTCAGATGGGAGAAATCTAGTACACAAAAGCTGACTTAGTATAAGCATGTCTAAGTAGTAGCATAAGCTCAAATTGGCTCATAACACCAATAAACTGGAACTTTCTCTAAGGAATCATGTTAATCACCTTTGTCATGTTGTTAGTAAATTAAAAAAATCATGTAACACTTGATGTTTGTGAGATTGATTGAAGGAGGAAAACTTTTATGATTGAAGCAAGTGACAAAGTTTGAGGAGCAAAAAGGTTGGTAGAGGGAATGGTGGATAGACGGAACCACCATAACACAGGTGGTTCCCATGTCCATGACAGACCTGCTAAAACCTGTGAAAGGTGGGCAGCGATTTTTCGCACGGACAGAGTTTTACCACTCGAGGGAAAACTCTATTTACCTCACCATGCGAAAACATCTCTCGCCACACCGATCACAAGTGTCAGCAAGCTATCATACAACACCACCTCATCTATATAGGTGGTTCTTAGGTTTTTCTCACGATAACAAGCTAATATCAATGGATAGCGCGATGAAAGAAGCCGCTCAACGAGCAGCCCAACTCACGATGACCAGATCACAATCGGTGGCTCTTGGACAACAGCCGGGCCCCCCTCTGGACCCGCCAAGACGCAACACAAATTGCTCCATCATCGAAGATGTTGACGGAGAACCCATACTCAACGATGAACTCGAAGGTTTAATTGACGACGCTGCCGAAATTTTGCAAGGCCCATTACTTGCTTCAGAAGACGACGACGAAACTTCCTGGGCCCCTCCAGAAAAGGGGAAGGGAAAAGCGGTAGACAACACAAGCCCCACCCCTTCACGGACAAGCTCATCAACAAGTAGATTAGCCCCTGGTAAGTTTCAACTTCTATAGCCCCAAATTCCTAAATTTCCCGGTTATCCCCCAAGTCCAGATTACCTCACCCGGCGAATCACCTCGAACCCCAAAATCACCAATGCTGAAAGATGGGGGGCTAAAGGCCCATGATCCCAGTCGAGAGCGGCCCAGGAGCTCACTAAGTGGGGGGCAGATCGCCGTGATAATAATGAGACTCCAAGAACCCTATAGGGGGGAGGCGATCGCGTCTTAGCAAGATACCCAGTAGCGGGCAAGACAAAGCGATGAATCTAACGAACCCTTTGATCTACGTACAGTAGTAAACCATTCGGAATCCCTCAACGATAGAGTGGACAGGCTATGTGATGAAGGCCGCCTCGCCGAAGCCTCGGCGCTCCTCAGGTACATCAACGGCTCCTCAACAGGGAGCTACCTAGACGACAGCGGCACCAGGATCCCAGTGGCCAGCGGGAGCGGCCTTGCCAGGTCAAGACCGTACCAACTGGTGGAGGAGGAGCTATTGTCAGCAACTGAAGACCACGAACCTCTCTCAAAACGTTGTCGACTAGAGATCCCACCTCGGACCTCCCTAGGCCACACCTTGCCGCCTCAGCACAAATATCGCCCTCAGGCCGTCCATCAGACCCAGGTGTCATCTCCCCCTCACCACACATCCATCGCTCTGAGTACTCACAACCTCCAACAAGCGCCACACCCAGGCCAGATGTCAAATAACGGTTTTCGTATGGAAGTGTCGAGGGGGACACAGATGGAACAGAACACACCACTCTCTCAAGGAGCTCCCACTACCTCGACCTCTCGACCCCTGTCAGACCAAGAGGAAGAGGAGCAGGTCAAGCTATTACTTGCTTCGAAGAGAGGTCGACTTGTACTGCGTAACGGTGACGTGGTCGAGAATGGACGGCTTCTGGTCGCCGACACCACAGAAGAAATGGAGAAAGGCCTAAATCAGCTTTCCCCGGTCCTGACTCATTGGTTGAGGACTTTCAAATCTTACATACCTCTCACGGTATTCAACAAAGTCTTCTTGGTCGACGATCAAACGGAGTGGAGCCGCCGGAAGGCACCAACCGAGTCTCGTATCAAAGACGGGAACGCATCAGTCCGGGTATACGGGGGCCACCCCCCACCAGAAGAGATGCTCATGCAGTTCGAAGACTGGATCGACTGCATGTCCCTGTTCATCAAATACGTCGCAGCCGAAGGCTGGGAGACCCTAACGGAACGATTCGAAGGCCATCGGAAAGTGGTGATGTCGCTGAGAGACGACTACAGTTGGATGATAGCACTCCGTTACTGCAGGCGGATCAGACAGGGTGTAATGCGAGAAACCATCAACAGTCGAATCCGTAATTTCAGTGCGCTTCAGACAGCTATATTCGAAGAAGCGAAGATAACGGCAGATGCTCAACAGGAACGCGGTTACCGAACAAACCCCTACGCTGCAGGGGGCCCCTTAGCACACATGAACCCCCTCAGCGGACTTCCACAGTCAACCTCGACTCCAGCCTCATCTTCAACCAAGAAGTCATCCTACAAGCCGGCCACGACAAGATCAACGCGGCCAGCGACGACATTAACCGCGTCCGACACAAGAGGAGCTTGGATCCCATCTCACGTATGGAGAACAATGTTTAAAGAGGAGAAGGTTGCGGCGTCTGGAAGAAGTCAGAGCGGTATCGGAAGACATAGAGAAGAGGAAAGGAGAAGCACTTACAGAGAACGCGATAGAGAACCCTACTACGAGCGTAGCAGCGGACGTGATCGATATGGAAGAGCAGACCGTAGCGCCGAGCGCAGACGTAGCAGATCCAGGAGTCGAAGCCCGAGGGGCGGTAAAGGCAAGGGTCGGAAATCGTAAGCCTAGTTATTGAATGAAATGAATTGTAGAGCTCGTCATCAAAGACAAAGCAGCCAGAAAACCATTATATGACATCCAAGAGGGAACGTGACCCCTGAGTGAGATTGTGAGACTTACAATGACCCACGCCCCCCCCTTCTTTCCTTTTCGCCCATACACAAACTCCCAGACCATCGTCGAAGCCGAGTCCTCTAAAAAGACCAGCCGAGCCAAGTAGATGGCCTATGGCAGCCACATGTGAAATGAATCTACCTGTGTGGAAACGAGAGCTGGCTAAAGCAGGCCTTCTGGCATCGCATAGACACATTTTGTCAGGCTTGAGGTCCGGATTCAATCAAGGGATTAGAAATGCAAACGTACCAGGCATGAGATTCTTCTGCCCCCCAAATCACTCGTCGGCCCTGGCAGCAAAAGAAAAGATCCTTGAAAACTTCGCCACAGAACTGAAAGCCGGTAGGATGGCCGGACCCTTCTCTAAAGAAGAAGTCTATCGCAAGTTCGGGTTCTTCCGTACAAGCCCTATAGGTGCTGTGGTGAACGGTAACGGATCGACAAGGCCGATAAACAATCTCTCTTTCCCGCGAAACGACAAAACCAAAAAGTCAGTAAACGCAGACGTCGACAAGTCCACTCTTTTAGTGTCATTTCTAGTTTGAAGTTATCTAAGGTATTTCCTTTGTTTAATTTATCTCTTGGGTTATTTCCAAGAGCATATTAAACCTACCCTGCTTTACCTTGCCAAGTCTGGTGAGGTTAAAGCATTACGGGGGAGGCCGAGTTCCGCCCTTGGTTTGGTTTCTCGGAACCAACTTCCAAGCGCGGTTGGTCTGCAGCCTGGGTCGGTGGGTGGGTTTATTTGTAGGGAGGGTGGGAGGTATTTTAAATTTCTTTTGATTTTTATAACTTCAGTGAGCTAGAATTGAGCACTAATGATTGTGTATAAGGTGAGTGATTTGAAGTGAGTTGTGTTTGAAGGGAGAATTCCAAATTCTCCCTTTGATGTTTCCCTCGTATGTAAGATGTCACACTTCAACCACTCCTGTCACAAGAGTGGACATTTACACCAATGCGTTCCTGGTGGTGTTTACTATCCACTCTTTTAGTGTCATTTCTAGTTTGAAGTTATCTAAGGTATTTCCTTTGTTTAATTTATCTCTTGGGTTATTTCCAAGAGCATATTAAACCTACCCTGCTTTACCTTGCCAAGTCTGGTGAGGTTAAAGCATTACGGGGGAGGCCGAGTTCCGCCCTTGGTTTGGTTTCTCGGAACCAACTTCCAAGCGCGGTTGGTCTGCAGCCTCCTCCCCGCCCACCCTCCTTTGGGTTAGTTGGGTTGTCCAACGCTCCCTATTCCAAGGAAACCGGTTTAAGACAAATCCGTCCTTGGCCTGGAGGACAACCCCCTCTACGGGTTTGCACTTTGTTTATGTCTTTCCAACTCCATTCGTTCCTCAAGGTGGGGAACGTTTGGTCAGTGCGAGTCTTAACTTAGATTGTACGTGTGGGTCTCAACTTTGAATGTTGTGAATTACTTTCCAACTTCGAGTTTTGTTAATTACTTTTTAATTTAAAACATTGTTTATGCTCTATCGTATCTGATGGCATCTAAAAATATTTTTGTTTCTTCCACTTCGCTTTTGGTGAACACTTTCACATACCGCTTGTAGGAGAGTGATTTCCACCTCCCTGCCTTCATCAAGGTCTTCTCGCTTGTTCCAAGGTTAGCTCGTATCGAAGCTCCACCCACTCTAAAGGAGTGGCCTGTCCAGTTACCCAGTTTAGCATCTCCCCACACTTCACTCAAGACTTTAAGAAACTTCTCCTTTCTTAGTAAACCTTCCTTTGTTTGGAACAAAAAACTTTCTCGATCTTTTTCTCCGTTCATGTCCATTACCCGTCTTACAGCCGCCACTGGATCTAGTACAGACGGTTGTTCCTGTAAGTGAATTATCTGAATTTCGTTCGGTAATGCTGTCTTGCCTTTCTTTAAATGTAATTTGACCTATTTTCCTTTCTTGGATTCACCAAACTCAACGTTTCTTCTCAATAATGCTCCTGCTTCTTTTGTCTTCCTGAAGATCTCTCCTAACCTCATTAATCCCCAGAAAGCTATCAAGGCGATTGCTGCAATGAATTCGTGTTCTTCTGATCTTCCGATGCATCTATCGAGTAATTCTAGAAGTTGTTGTACTTTCACTGGTTTCTTTTCTACTACTAGTAAGATTCCTTCCTCTTCCTTTCTCGTAGCTCGTAATAGGATCTTGATTATGCTCTCGTCTACTTCAACTTTCTTGACATGTTTCACTAAGTGCCACGCCTGTATCCCATCTATGTATTTATCGATTGTTTTTGACGCTATCTTGTTTTTTGGTGGACCAGCTATCTTCACTCCCGATTCACCTGCCCAAGCGATAAAGTTATACAGGTCTGTTTCTGAAATTTTTTCATTTTCATCAAAGTTTCTTCCGGTCGATTCTACATAAGTGATGTATTTCGATAACCCAGACGAGTAGCCTTTTAGTGTAGACTTAGCCCATCCGCTTGCCGCCATATGAGCTCCCGATAAGCTTGTTTCTTTTGCTGCTCTCTCGAAATGGCCTGGTAAGTCTTGATCTTTATTTCTTTTGTTAGTTGGTTGTCTGTATGGTGGCATCTTGCTTTAGGTAACTGATGAAATCGTTTTTATTTCTAACGTTGTGACTGTTGGTTATTGTTATTGTGTTTTAGCTTATCAGTCGTCTGCCTTCGGATTTCTCTCAGGTTCAAATCCTTTTGTCAACGAGTTTTCCGGCTCGACTAGTTTTCCGACTTCTAGTATATGTATTAAGAATCTCACGAGGTTCATACCTTTCTTTCCGCTATTGAACGGATTGACGATTCTCACGATCTGACGATCACGTCTTTCCTTACTCTTTCATCTCATGTTCTCCTCAAGGATTCCTTCTCACCTCACTATTTCTCGTCGTCTCTCAGGTACACTACTTGTGGGTATTTTGGTTAAGCTTTGTGCTTACATTTTATTTCAACTTCTGTTTAGTCTTCCTATTAAGTCTGTTCTAAGAATTCTTTTAAGTCTTCTGGTAAGTTGATTCTCAACATGTTAATTCTCTTTTTCGTTGAATCTAATCCACGTGATAATGCGTCTGCTGCGTTATCAGCTGATCTTACCCTTTTAGCTTCTATCGCGCTATTACTTTGCAGCAGGTCTTTTTGGAGTTTTTTCCATTCTCGATTAACCAGAGGGTCTCTTGATTTCCCGTTGTTTATGGCGCCTTCTGATACCGTGTTATCGGTCAAAGCTAAGTAAGTCTTTCCCTTTACGTCTTCTAAATTTCCTAGCATTTGCCAACCTAATCTGATCGCTACAGTTTCAGCCCATGCGATTCCTCGCCTTGTTCCATCGTTTTCTACTCTATCCCAGTCTTTTTTCAATTTAAATCTTGCCCAGTATCTCCCTATTATGATACCTAAACCGTAGGAGGTCGATGCATCACCGACCCATCCAACTGTTCGAACATCTGGTCTCGGGATTACTCTCATTGGTTCGGCTAGTGTAAGTGTTTCTTTCCATGTTTCAATATCTTCTCTTACTTCCTCTGGTACGTCTCTTAATGCATACTTATGTTTCCATTCTTTCATCCATCTGTAGATCGCCGAACAATATACCCTCATTTGAGGAAATACGTATGCACAATGATTCAATCTTCCTACTAAAATTTCGGTTTCTTTAAAGGATTGTCTACCTTCTTTTAAGTATTCTTCTATTTGTTGTAATCTTTCTTCTAATTTCTCTTTTGGTAATTGAACAGTTTTCTTTTCTCCATCCCATATGAAACCTAGGTATCTTTGAACGTAAGTAAATTCTTTCCATTTTTTCTCATTTGTAACTACTCCCATTTCCGTGCTTAAATTGACTATGTCTATCATTTTCCCTGCCTCTAGGTCTTCTTCTGGTTTTGCAAATAGTGTATCATCTACCCATCGAAAACCTGCCAGAAGGTTAAACCTCTTCACCATCAATTCTTTCCAAGTATCAGCTGCCCAACCGAAGGTTCCGCATCCCGCTACTCCGCCAAATTGGACTCTAGTATCTAATAGTACGTTTCCGTTAAAATCCAAAACCATTAAAAACCTCCACTGATTTTCTGCTACTGGAATTTGTCGGTAGGCTTTCGCCCAATCGAAAATTCCTAGTAACAACTTTCCTCAATACGAAGTTATGAAGTAAGCTACCTTTTTGAAATCATCCCATGAAGTTTCAAACTCTTTCTTATCTACCCCTTTATTTACTGATGCTATGTCTACTATATGTCTAGGATACGACAAGTCACTTATTGCTCTGAAGGAGCCATCATTGTTTATTACTGCGCCTAGTGGATTTGTCCTAAAAAAACCTATTTTCTTATAGACTTCTTCTTTAGTCCATGGTCCGTACATCCGTCCTTCCGCTAGCTCTAATCTGAAATTTTCTTCTATTTTTTCTTTCGCTAACTTTGCGGATGCGTGATTCGGTGGGCAGTAGTACCTTTCATTCGGTACGTATGCGTCTTTTATACCTTGTGTGAAACCCGTGGTGAACATCTTGATGATGTGTTTGTGTTTTGATAACAGACCCACTTTGAATAGCTCTTTCTCCCACACTTCGAGTTTCATGTTATGCGACGGTCTTTTTGGCCAGACTTTTTGGGAATCTTGTTCTTCTGTACCCATTGGCGTCGGACTAGAACTTTGTATGTTTCTGTAGTAGTGACAGGACGATTCACAAGGTCAAATTCATATCTTACTCATGCATTACCTGTTCAATAATTTGATTGGCAAGAAAAGACGAAGATTTTCGGGGTTTCAAACAAAACGGGATTCAAATTAGGAAGGGATGGAGGGACGGGACTTTGGAGCTTTGGATTGAGCGGGATTCAAGTCAAAAGACACGGGACTTTGGAGCTTTGTAGTCAAGACTAAACCACGTGGGTTTGTACTTGGCTCATCCTTCCGGTATGTGGTTCATGTTCCTATCTAGGAATGCATTTCGACTTCAAATCAATTTGGCTCACGATCTTTTCCAACTACCGCCTCCTCCACGTTTTCCGTATCGTTTCTCTGGACTACGACTTCTTTCTCTTCTTTTTCCTTCTCCCCACTTTGGTCCTCTGTTTTCCCGATTGTCTCTTTCTCTATAGTTGTCTCTTGGTGAATCTCGATAAGGCTCTCTGTAAGTTTCTCTGTTGAAATTTGATCCTTGACTTCGCCTCCAGTTTCCATTACCTCTGTAAGAACTCGTGCTTGCATGCCTGTTTACAGTTACTGTGTTAGGAGATTGGATCTGATTTTGTTTGCCTGGTGGTTTCGGTTGGTTGGTGTACGGGCAGATCGTTGCTTTTGGACCGCCGACTGCGTAAGGGTTCGTTTTGTAAGACCTTTCATTAAAACTTTCGGCTTTTGTTTTTGCTTGTGTTAGAAGGTGATCTTGTAACTCTGCCCAATTCCCTAACGATCCATCAATTGTCTCTCTCATTACACCTTGGCGTACCAATCTACAATACCTCAGTGCCACCATCCAACCAAAATCTTTCCTAATTTGTTTAACAATCAACATATGGCTTTCGAACTTTTCTGCTACTGGCTCCCAGTCTACCGATCTTAAATGTACACAGAATAACTCCATACAATCACTCCAGGCTTCAAAGTTCATCGTTAACTCTTCTGTAGGTCCTTCTCCTCCATACATCCTCTTTTCTTTTTCAATTTTGTCTTCTGATTTTGGAGGTTGGAGTGACCAGGCTTTTTGATCTTTTAATAAGAATTCTTCATCGAAGACTGGTAACGGGATAAACGATTTCAAAGCTCTTAGTTTCGATGTTAAGTGTGGTGACAATGGCGTAAGTGATTCTGCCATTTTTGCATTTCCGTTTCTTAGGATTCTGCCGTTATGAATCATATCACCGTTTGTTAACGTCATCGATCCTTTCTTTGATGTCATCAAGGTTTTCGCTTTATTTGACTCCATTTCAGAACTACAGCCTTGGAACCAATCGTCTTTCTGTTCTTCGTTTACGGCTTCACCTTCTGCGTCTTGTCTTTCGCGCATTATAACGACACTTGGCGTTCGTCTAATCGTGTTAAGGTTGAGGTTGTTTGACAATCGATTTACATTGACTGAATCTTGTGATGATTCTTCGTCAAAAACGTATCTGCTGTCCTCTTTTGTCTTTCTGTTTTTGTTCTCCTCTCGATGTAGACGTTCTGTTAATCGTCTTGCGCCTTCGATGTCATCTCTATCTAGCGCTTCTTGGATCAATTCGACTAGCGTTTCACGTCTCGCTTCTACAAATGGTGGATTCGATTTCCAAGTCAGTTTCCTTGTTTTATCTTGTCTTTTTGATATCGCGTAATTTGATGTATTTATCTATTGTTAGCCGATTTAGGCTGGACTCCTATTCTTAAGCCGGGTCAGGCTACGATGTCTATTGTAAGCCGACTCTTGGCTGGGTCCCTATTTTAAGCCGGGCCAGGCGTTGATATCTATTGTAAGCCGACTCTTGGCTGGGCACCTATTTGTGGCCGGGCCAGGCATCTTCTATAGTCGTTCGGTTTGTTTCCACCTATAAAAAACGGACCAAATATAGAAGAGAAAAAAGAGAAAAGGAAAGAATGGAAAGAAAAAAGGAAAGGGTATTATAGAATAAAAGGGTATGTAAAAGATTGAGAAGTATGAAAAGGGGAAAGTATGGAAGGGGAAAGTATGGAAGGAAATTATATGAAAGAAAGGAAGGAAGATGAAAGGGAATATGCAAAAATGTCATTTTAATTAGGTCAGTTCCTTACCATTTTTTAATCGTTCGTTTTCAACTGTTTCGTTCGTTTGATTCTGTTGTTCTTCTTCCTCATTCAGATTTTGAATTCCTCCCCATTCTTCCGTTTCATCCTCTTCGTTTCTACTTGATACTCGATCTTCCTCTTCTCGTCTGTTTTCTTCTTCTTCATTTATTCTATCTTCTCTTTCTCCTCTTTGAGCTGTTTGACGTCCTCTTCCTATTTCTCTTCTCGGTGTTTGTAATCTTTCCAGTTGTGCTCCTGTCGCTGCTGCTTCAGCTCTTGTTAGTCTGCGTTGTACGTTTGTTGTTGCTTCATTGATTTGGTTTCGTAAATCTGCCATTTTAAATTTCTTTTGATTTTTATAACTTCAGTGAGCTAGAATTGAGCACTAATGATTGTGTATAAGGTGAGTGATTTGAAGTGAGTTGTGTTTGAAGGGAGAATTCCAAATTCTCCCTTTGATGTTTCCCTCGTATGTAAGATGTCACACTTCAACCACTCCTGTCACAAGAGTGGACATTTACACCAATGCGTTCCTGGTGGTGTTTACTATACAACTTTAGTACTACCTGGGACAATTTCCAAGTAGTAGCAGAATTCCTCACGTCAACAACGAAACGCGTCCTACTGGCAATATTCGATTGGGCAAAGGCCTATCGACAAGTCCCGACATTGCCAGATCAGTGGCGGTTTTTGATGATCCTGACCTTCGACAATGAAATCTTAATAGACACCCGGATCACATTCGGAGGGGTGGCAGGCTGCGGGGTTTTTGGACAAGTGGCGGATGCCTGGAAGGCAATTATGTTGGCGTCATTCCCACTGCTCGCAGCATTTCGCTGGGTAGACGACACAATGTTCGTGAAATCTGTGGACGACACAACAAACCTCAGCCTGTCTGAAATATGAACCTTAAGTGAGGAAATGGGAGTGGTAGAGAACAAGGAGAAAAGAAACGACTTTGCCGAGGAACAACGTTACCTGGGTTTCATTTGGAACGGTTTCAACAAAACCGTACGCCTGCCAGATGAGAAGATTACCGCAAGAATCGAAGAAATAACAAACTTCCTGAAAGAGAAGTCGCACCGATTCAAGGAGGTCGAAGGACTTGCAGGGAGATTGAATCACACAGCGATGGTCATGCCCCAAATGAATTGTTATGTGATAGATATCTACAGGTTCATGGCA